CTTTACTTTTTTCTTGATAAAACACTACATCCTCCCTCAAGAGTTGGTCTAATTACAAAAGACACCCCTTCTTAATTCACGATTACAAACACTCCCTGTAGTTTGTAATTTTACCTTGCAAACATCCCCCTCGTCCGCGTCAACCTCAGGGCTCACTTGCAATTTTTGAAAAGATAATCGAGCCTTTGTAGTAATTAAGTTAATCCCTCAGGGTAATTTTTCACTTTTTTCCTTCTTCTTTTTCCTTTCTTCTGTCATCAAACTTTCTAAATCCAGACAGCTCTCGAGTTTTCATAAGGTCTACACATCATCAATGGAATCAGGCGAGCTCAAAGGGAAACAAGTATCTTCCCCACCAGTACTCCACAGGAAATTGGCGTAATTAGATGCATAGTACGCGTTATTGGGCTCAGCTGAAATTGCTTCCAAATATGTCTCCTCAGCAGCCCAAAGATCGTTCCTCACGACCCACAAGAAGTTTGCGTACTTGTTCAATGCTTCGGCATCCTTAGGCTCGACTTTCGTAGCCCTCTTAAAGTACTCCTCGGCTCTGTTTCGACCAAAAAACACCACTATAGCATTAAGTTCATGATTATTTTTCAAACTTACAAAACAAACAAATAAATTAATAAATAAAAGTTATTTTTCTCATATTTTCCTGAAAAAAAAAATGGAAGACAGCAAAGTGGAGAGGTGGGGAGGAAGGAGGGGCCGAGCGGGACCCACTCTGCCCGACCCCTTTTGGTTTGGTTCTAAATTTTAGCAAAGTCGAGACGAGTTTAGGTAATATTGACTATTCAAACTAAAGTGAGGACAAAAGCCAAGTTCAGACTTTTGGGAATTTGCCAAAGGGATATTGATGATATTTCAACTGAGGGCACTCGAGATATATATAGTTTTGGTTCACTGGTCTTATCATTTGCCTCTATAGCAGCATCACACGTTGTGCTATCATAATATCATTTGCCACTAAAAACACATTTTTTTTTTTCACTCAGATAAATGAACCAATTTTCTCAAAGTTGGAACCCCAGTTAAAGCTCACCACTCACCACCAATCAGAGGAACTTCCAATGCTATATCTGAAAATAAGAAATCTAATTCGCCAGAAACGGCATATTCGCTTTTGCCGGAAAAACAGCTGTTAGCTAAGCACTCCAAATTTTCAAAAGAACGAGAAATAACAACATCTAAACACAAATCAAAAAAAAAAAAAGTTAAAAAGAAAAAAAAATTCAGTACCTGTCAAAATCCTGAGCAACAAGGTAAAGAAACTGCGCGTAATTCACCAGCAAAAGGACATTCTCCGGCTCTCGAGCCAATTCCGTCTGGTAAAACATGTCCGTCTTCAGATACTCCATTTGATCGTCTGTCTCGATTCTCGCAATCACTGGGGCCACTAACATAGTCTCCCGATCTAAGGCCTCTTCCCTTGATCCGGCCTCCATTCTCAAAGCCTCATTCACAATCGAGCCCCAAAGTGCCTCCTCCTCCTCTGCCGAGGCTCGTCCAGACATACTCGAAGGATTATCTGTAGAAAATGAGGTCACCCCACCATAATTAAACTCATTAAACCTCCCTTCACCATCCATATCACTACCCACCGGCTTATACTTACCACCACCACCATTATTCCCTCCTATCGAAGCAGTTTTTCCATAACTACTAGACGAAGGGGAAGAAATCCTCAAATTCTTGATAATAGGCGAGTCGAATTTTTGCTTAGAGGGACTGTCATCGTGATCTCCGGCCAAGGAGACTTGTTCGGTCTGTACAGATGGCATGGTGGCGGCTAAGGCCGCATGAGCTGACATGGAGTGGACACTGTAGTTTGCGAGGAGTATCATTAAGTACATCATGAGAGTCGGGGTTTGGGAGAACACTTTCTGGAACAGCCACACGAATGACGCGTGCATCTCTTTCTGAACATTCGCAAGAATGCCTTGTAAATCCTCGTAGAAGAGAATCTCCCTCATCTGGAGAGTGTAGCAGTGGAGCTCACGGATAATGAAGACCATTGACGAGAAGGCCTTCTTCACAGAGCAACAAGCCGTGTCTCGGGCCTCGGTGATCTCGGCCTGCCATTGTTTTTTTCGTTTTATTATTCTAAGGGATAAGGGAATATCGAAGCTGTTCGCCTTCATCTCGATGTTGGCTGGGATTATCTCGTCAGGAGGCTCCACAGAATCGTCAAATGGGGTTTTCCGGTTTTTCTCCAAGAACTTGGGCCCGGAATTAGAAACGGCTCCATCCTCATTTTCTGAACATAGCTCAACACAATCGTTGTTAGTTATCGAGCTCCCGTCCGAATCGTGTTCGTCGTGGCTCGTTTGAAATCTCGAGGCCAAAGATTGAATCTTTTTGGAAAATTCTTCGTCGGAGAACGAGTCCATGCTGGCAGAGAGGGCCCGTCTGATAGTTCGAGCCCGGGAATTCTTGTTTTGATGAGATAGAGAGCAGAGTTTTGGTGATCGGTGGGCGTTGGGGAACAAGGCGGACTTGTCGACATAACGGCAAAAGAGGGCCCCCGAATCACCACTTGAAAAACTGCGTCGTTTTGAGGAAGGGGATGAAATGGATGAGGCTAATGTCTGGGAAGAAGATGAAGAGTGGGGGATTGAAGGCTGTGACCAATGTAATGGAGCTGGTGCCACTTTCAATACCATTTTTGACAAAATGGATAAAAAAAAAATCAACAAAAAGTTTTGCAGAAAAAAAGGGGAAATTGGAATCTCTTTCCTCAAAAGCAAATTTCTGCAGAGGCTAATCTGATTTGGATCCAAGAATAAAGGTCCTGCTTTTTCTTGCTCAAGACTCAATACGCTTTAAAGCCCTGCAAAGAAAATAAGCAAGCAAGCAACCAAAGACCGACCAATTTTGAGTCAACAACGCACTACACCAAAACAGATTAAAATAAAGGAGACTTCACATAAACCCCACTGGCCACAATCATATCACCACCCATTGAAATCGGATCAAGAAAAACGCAGCCCAAGAAGCCGATACAGCATAAAAACTCACGAATGGATTACAAACAGAAAAAAATAAACAGGGCCCAGATAGACCAAGCACTCACCGGAAAAGATTAGCTCCGGCCAGATCTCCGGCGGTTGCTCCACCTCTTTTATCAGAAACAAGCGAAGCTCACGAGGACCGTAGCTTCACTTATCAAGAGACGAGGACCGGTGTGTGAGTGAGACTCTTAAATACAAAATGAATAAATAAAATAGAGAGGAACTTTGGGGCCGATATAAAAGAAAAATCTTCGGACAGTCCAAGAAAGGTAGAGACAACTCGCGTACGCCCAAGAATCAAACCGTATGTTGAAAAACAGCCATTAACAATGCTAGTATCTCTTTCCAAAATTACTTTCTTGATCGTGACCCATGGGGCCCGATTCTTGATATTTATTGCCACCCTTTCTTTTTCATCGGTGATTCTTGCATTTTAACTCGGTGCTGACAATTATATCACCGCTGTAATTGTTCGTGGTGGTTGTTTTCCACTTTTCCTTAGAATTTTTGCTTATTTTGCCCTAAAATACAGATGAAACGCTACTGCGGGTCAGTGTCCGAGTCACATGCCCAAGTCCAAGGGAGGAAAGTTGAGGCGTACGCGGCTGAGTTCACGGGTCCTTTTTCTTTTTTATGAGAACTCAATGGGCAATTGCCAAGTGTGTCCGCCATTAATGACGCGGAGGCCATTTCTGGACCGTGAATTGATCTACCATCTTACCTAAAGCTTAGATCTTTTTATTTTGGGTTGTGTCAATTTATTATTTTGGAAGAGTCTTGAAATAGGTTGATTTTTAGATAGTCTTTGGAGTAGTTTTGGGAATGATTTTTTGATAGTATAATATTTCATCAAATTGTACGTATATATATTGAAAAATATGATTGCATAGTTGTACTTTTATTGATTATGAAAATATGACGAAAGGTTTAAAGTCCACTCTAATTGCTTTAGTTGGAGAGTTTTAGTGTCCCACTTTTATTGCTTGGTTTGTAAATTAGAGGATATGAGTTGAATTGCATAAGATACATATTGTAGATACTGTGAAACACAGTTTTGCTATGGAGTCATCGGATGGCTCGACTTATGGAATCATCCACACTTATTAACCAATAATATATTGACATGTGTTCTGCAATAAATACACTTTGGACAAGTGTCAGTACATTAATTGGTGGAGGGCTCCATAAGAAAACCATTCGATGGCTCCATAGAATTTTTGACTAGAAACAATAACATCATTCAACAAAATTATATCATTCAACGGAGAGAGGGGAAAGGAAGGATTTTAATGGAAGGAAGTTTGATTATAAAAATGGAGAGAAAAGAAAATATTGTAAAAATGACAGTTATATTTTAAATGATATAGAAACAAAAAAATAAAATAATTCACAAATTAAGGACAAAAGAGTAATTTTATGTGTAAAAGTTTTTCCTCCCCTACAAATTTCCCACTTTTGGAATAGAGCAAAATTGGTGGAGGGAATGGATTTTTACTTAAACTTTTTCCACCTCTCCACTCCTAACTTACCAATCAAAACAAAGAAAACTAAAAAAATCTATCCTCTCCCTTCCACTTCATTTCATTTTCCTCCAACCAAACAACCCCTAAAGCTTGTAATTGAAACGAGACATTCGTGAGTTCGATTCATCTTTAAAATTCGATAAATCTCGTCAACACTCGATAATTAAGATTATTATAATTTTTTTATAACTCCATCCTCAAGATCGAGTATCATGAGCTTGAGTTCAACTCGTCTCTTTTAACCCTTTAATTTTCTCATCAAAATATATATTTCATACAAAAAAAAGTTACACTGAGTTTTGTTGTTGCCCTTAATTATTTTATACTTACAGATATATAAGAATATTAACTTTGCCTCGACCAAAACTCATAAAAAATATGCCCAACACATGTGTTGCTACATATTAATTAGTTAGGGGAGGAAATTATTGTCCGATCCAATAAATTGAAGTTACTAAGATAAACTATATTTCATTTAATAATAAAAAACACATTATTTATCTATTTCACTTTGTTTTTGTAATATGTTCCACTCATATTCTTATACATAGTTAATAAATTAAAAATCAATCATCATTCTATATTTGTCCATAAAAGATATTATTCATATAATAATATATTATTGACCGCTAGTCATTATTCTACTATTTATAATTTATCTTTATATCACGTTATTTTATAGTAAAATATTACTAATATTTTCATTATATTTTTTAGTTAATAAAAAAATTCCACTCAACTAAGTATTTTGGAAATAAATAAACGGTAGCTCTGTGTTAAGTCGGCCTAACCGTTAAGCTGACATATTTTTTTATATAAATATGCATATTTACATTAAAATACATTATACTTAAAAAAATCTGATAGATAGAAGTATAACATAATATTTTTTTTTTTTTCCATAGGTGAATAATAAAGAAATGAGATACGAGAGTTCAAGGGGCAGAAAATTGTTTTGTAATTGATCGGGGCCAAGGACTCAAGAGACGATAAATTAATACGATAATTAAAACATGCTCATTTGTCCCCGAGCGATTTGTCTGATGAAGACCCATGCCTTCACAAATCACAACCACTCTCATATTATTATTATTTTATATTATTATTATTGCTTTATACATTCACACCAGTCATGTCACCAGATGAATAAAGTTTCAGGCACATTACACAACTATATAATCAAGAAAAATTGTTAACAAAAAATAATCCTTAAGTGGATGAATAAAGTTTCAGGCACATTACACAACTATATAATCAAGAAAAATTGTTAACAAAAAATAATCCTTAAGTGGTCAATGTATTTTACTTTTACCAAAATTATATACGAAATGTTATATTTTATTTATGTCTCGAATTATTGGCATCTCACCTTTGAAAAGTAATTTTTTCACTGTTTTTTGGGTCTAGTTATCAATTAACTGCTAATTGACTGACGGTCATTGTATTAGCGGACAAATGATACTAGATTCTATTAGTCGGTTTGACTATTGATTCAATAAGAGATTTGTTAAGTAACATTTGGTAAATAGCTAAAAACTTATAGCTTTTTGTGTTGTATTGTTTTTTGTTTTTCAAATTTTTATTTATTTTTTTTAATCTTCTATTCCAAAAATGTCTTTTTTAGCCTTCTCATAATTAGAATTTTCATCATTAATATTTTCGATCTAAAAGACTAATTAATTACATTTGTTATCAAACAAGCTAATTAACGAATTTGATTGATCAAACTTCTATAAATAAAGTCGGATTCGCTAATATAACACAAATCAGGTAATAATGAAACGAGTATATTTTAAAAATATTCGATATTTATCCTCGTGTAATTACTAATTAGTATAATGCCCATTTGCAATATTTAACAATAGGCGCACTTGGACCATTACAAAATTATACCAACTCCACGTGAATTTCATTGAGATTTTATATTAAAGTGCAAGTGCTATTATTAATTCTTATGAAAAATATTTTATACGAAAAAATTATCTTGCTAGACTGTGAACGGCTGAATTGGACGGTCCAAAATGAAACTGAGGAGGTCAGTGAACGGACGGACCAAAATGGGAGTTAGAAGCTGGAACCCAATTTGGTCACGTTCTTGTCAACATGATAGGGATGGTAGTGGGGCCCACAACAAAAGGTTGTTATAATATGACCCACTGGGCCTACACACTCTGATGGGCTGATCGTGCCTTTGTACTTTGCTGATCATTAATATGTAAGTACCAAATCAAATGTCATTAAAAATGAATTGAAAAACATGGAAATAAATCCTATGCATTTGATGTTGGTACAGTTATTGTTAAAATAAGAGAGAAAGTAACACATAAATATTTTAGCTATGCAAACTATATTATTTTATTTTTTTAATTATTTTAATTTTATCTATTTCTCTCTTTAACTTCACTTAAAGTGAAACTCTAGAGGATTCATTCTATGAAAATTACTTTAAATAAAGAGTAATGTTATTTAGCCAACTTGGGTGACAACTTGGATTACAACTCAAGTGTAAATACACTAGTATTTAACCCGTGCATTTGCACGGAAAAGTTATATGATAAAGTGATAAAGAAAAAATTATAAAAATCATAACATGATCATTGAGAAAATAGTTAAGCAACAAAATTTAAATTTAAATATTATTAAACACTTCTTTATATACAACATTCGTGGTTTTCCCTTCGTCACAATCTCCATCACCACAAATCATTATTTTAAGACCCCTCCGATTCGTGACTCTAGATAGTGCCACATACAACTGTCCATGACTGAATACAGGATTCTTCAATAGTAATCCAACGTGGGACAGTGACTGGCCTTGACTCTTGTTGATAGTCATAGCATATGAAACCATGAGCGGAAATTGTCTGCGCTGAAATTTGAATGGTACCCTCAAATCGGATGGTATAATTGTGAGCCTAGGAATAAGAACTTTGTCACCAGCTTTGGCACCGGTTAAAATCCTGTATTCGAGGACATGGCTGCTGAGCTTAGTGATAGCCAACCGTGTACCTGTTGACATCAAAACTCGAAAAACAAAAGCATATCAGCCAGATTTGTACAACGATAAAAGGAAATGTAGATGACAAATTGAATTTTGATGAACAGTACCGTTGCACAACCCCATAGAGTGATCAATGTTTCTGAGAAGCATCACTGGAGTGCCGACCTTAAGGTGCAGTTTATGATTCGGAAGCCCAGAGCAGTTGATCCCATTGAGAAACTCAGGAGTGTGAAGATCCTGAAGAGAATCATATCCAGCATCTGACTTGCACGGGGTGTCTGAACTCAAGTAAGTCCTTCCCTCGGATGAGTTCAGTGAGCTCATGTACTCGTTAACGGACTCAACCACATCAAGTGTGGGGGCGAGTATGGCTCTGTCCTTCAGATAGCTAAGATCATCACATGCACTTCTGAACATCGGGTAGGTATTCTCAACAATAGTAGCAATAGGATCCCCTTGTGAGTGTAGAAGAATATCGTCGGGGATATCGATATCGACACAACCGTCGTTCGATTCACCGACTGTACCGTCGCCGATGTTTACAAGCCACTCAGAGAAGCTCCTCAACTCATCGTACTCATTGCCCCCACCAAGGCTTCGAAGTCTCATATTCCGAGTCAGTCTCAGAACGATACAATCGTGCCACAACTTGGATGAATTGATGGTCGCATTAACTATGTCGCTTCGACTGCCTTTAGGGACAACGGGCAGTATCTGTCTGAAATCCCCACCTAACACAACACACTTTCCGCCAAATGGGAGATTTTTCCTCGATGGATCAACTGCTTCCATTAAGGCTCGCAAGGTGTTGTCAACCGCCTGGAAGCAATATTTGTTCATCATCGGGGCTTCATCCCAAATGATCAACCGACATCGTATGATCAGTTCGGCTAAAGGACTCTGCTGACTGATATCGCATGTAGAGCCTTCCACTGGGTTTAGTGGGATTCTGAATCGTGAATGCGCAGTGCGTCCGCCAGGAAGCAAAAGTGACGCTATACCGCTCGATGCAACGTTCAACACAATTTCACCTTTGGATCTCAAAGCAGAAGACAACGCCCTCCAGACATACGTTTTTTTGGTGCCGCCGTAACCATAAACGAAAAACATGCGGCCGTAGGTACGGTAGACAGAGTCCATTATCGAGTCATAAACATTGCGCTGCTCATCAGTCATGTTGGCAACCAACTCTTGATTCTCAATAGCGAGTGCAAGACGATCGTAATTCAACTCGTCCGTCACCAGTCTGTTCGTGGATGCCTCATTACGATCGAGATTAGGAAAAGGCATTGTACCATA